GTACTTTCCGCCGTGGCCGTACACCTTGGTGCAGGGCTTGTTCGGCGAGTGGCGCGTGACGATCGTGTACTCCTCCTCGAAGCTTTCGCTCTCGATTTGCTCCATGAAGAATCTATTGCCTCTTTGTGGATTATTGGGAGGCGGACTCACCGGCATCGGGCTGGATCGGCTCGAATTCCGGCGAATGAGCGCCCTGTTGGACGGAAAATCGCTCTCGAGGGCGGCAGCTATGCCCAATCCGACGGCGCCGTAATCGAAGCTCCTTTTGAGGCCTTTGGGGGATTGAGTTGTTCTGTTGTCGGAGTGAGCTTTGTTGCCAGGGATTAGTGATCCGGTGAGGATTCCGATCACCGGCCTGGACTTTTTCCCCAACATTTTTTTCCTCTTTTGCCCCGTTCTTTGTAGTTTAGCTATGGATTTTGTGGCTGGTTTTTGGAGGTAAAGGGTAAAAGAAGGGTTCTTATGCAGGTTCACAATTTGTGCTTTTATAATGGAGTTGTTAGATTACTATTTCGAGCCCATGGTTTTGGCGAGACGTAGTAATTACTCAATCCTATTCTTTTTGTTAAATGTCATACTTTATCAACTATTAATTATTTTGATTTTATCAATCATTAATCAAATAAATCATATTTTTAAATTTTTTGTATATATATTTTTACAATTACTTTTATTTAACCAATAAATACACTATGCTTTTTCATATTCACTACTCCCTCCTATTCGTTATAAATGTCGTTTTGTGAAATTGCACTGTTATTAAGAATATTATTTTTGTCAATAATGGCCCTCATTAATGAGGATAGAGATGAATATTTTGAGAAAAGATGAAAAGTGAATATGAAAAGACGTTGTGTATTTATTATCTAAATGAGAGTAATAATGGAAAAATATGTACAAAATATCCAAACGACATTTATTTTGTTAATAGTTGATAATGCCAAAATGACATTTAAAAAGAATAGGAGGTAGAGTATTACTTTTCACATTATTAATTTTCATTAAATAAAATCATTATTGCCAAAAAATATATTTTTAATTATTGTGCAACTTCTCAAAATAGCACATTATGAACCGTAGAGGGTATATTTTATTTGATCTATTTAATCATTATATAGTAATAATTTTTCAATATATATATAGGGACTGGTTCAAATAAAAACTAAGTCTGGTGTGATAACCGTGAAAATCATATTTGATGCTATTTTTAATTGTGTATGATGCTATTTTTAATATTTCATTGTGCTATCATTTTCACAACTGCTAATAAAAAATTTATTGCTATTTTTAATAAAATACATCATAGTTAAAAATAGCACTAAAACACAAGCAATCATAGCATTATATATCATTCAAAATAGTATTTCTTACGGTTCTCACACTAGAACTTGGTTCTCATTTGAACCACATCCTATATATATATGTGCCATTTTTTAAAATTCTTGTGTTGGCACGATTTTTGGATATCAACACTCTCTCTGCTCGATCCCAATTTCTCCTTTCTCTGCTACAATAAACCTTTGTTGTGGGTGTGTCTCCTACAGCAAGTGTTCCGCACTCATGCGGCTCCATCCAACGCCACGGGTGACTGCGGCTGGTTGGGTGTTTGCCGGTTAGCTCGTCCGGGTGGATTTCCCCCTGCTTCGGGTGGCCATGGCCGGACTTTTTTAGTCGATCTGACATAACGTCAGCGGTGTTAGGGTGTCGAGGTCGTTTGTCCCGCTCGCGGCAATAGATGATTGAGGTTCGCGCTTCCCACTTTCTTTTCTCTTCTATTCCTGGTGTTGAATAGTTGGGGTTATTCAGTGGGGGTGGCCCTCGACTTCGGCCGGACTGTCGTCGTTGGGTTTTGTTTTG